TACTAAGTGAATTTTCTAGGCAATAAAAGTTATCATTTAAAAAGTAAGGCTTTCAAAAAAATTTAATCATTTTGAAAGGAAATACATCTTAGTTTATTCCATCTCCTTAAGAACATGCATATTAAACACAGTTTAAGTCACAAAAATTAAGTGCTCTTGATAACATCAAAAGGAATACTGTGCTGACTGCAGGGGCTATTTGCCTCTGCCTGTGAGAGCCCTGACGGTGCAGTGGTTAAGTACTCAGATGCTAACCAAAAGGTCAGTGGTTCAAACCCACCAGTGGTTCCACAGGTGAAAGATGTGGTAATCTGCTTCAGTAAAGATCACAGCCTTGAAAACCCTGTGTGGCAGTTCTACTCTGTTCTATAGGGTCACTATGAGTTAGAATCGACTCCATGACATAGGGTTGGGTTGGTTTGGTTTGAGTGATGGCTCTAGAAGGCAGAGCTTTCTGCCCTTGAGGGTGTCTGCTTCTTTTCTTATGAGGCTCTCAGCAATGCCTTCTGCTCTTCTCAGGTATTTAAAAAAGGGGGCATTTCTATTCTGTCATATAGGGTAGATGACTCAGAACTGTCTTGATATGACACACAATTTAACACAGGAGTTCTCAATGGGGTGCCAAAGGGCACTCAGACTGACAAGCTGCTCAAGTGTGCCAGCAAATTTTGACCAAGGTGGAAAATACTTTTTGCCACAAGTAAGTATTCATAGCTTCAGAGTCATATTGACCTGCTCTTTGGCTTAAAGTGGAGAAAACTTGCTATGAGGAAGAGGTATTTGTCATGTTCACTGGATATGTGGCAATTTTTCTTAGCAAGAATATACAAGTGTAAATAAACTGAGTGAAGCAAAGGGAGGGCTTAGTTACATTAATTATGCTTTAGTGCCAGACCATGAAAAGTACTTAAGAGCATTTTTATTTTCTTCTAAGCTCTTTACTGGTTCTAGAAGCCTGAGGTTGCCTGAAAGCAAATCAGATAAGTGAGGATTTAGGAAAATCATCTTCAGCAAATAATTTCATGTTTTACCTTGCTCAAAAAGCTTCTGTGTATCAAATATTCATAATGTAAAATATCATGGAGAATAATAAATGATATAGGAAAAACTTTAAATATATTAGAGACAAATTTAACATTTTTCTATTGTCAAATAAATGGTAAATACTCTATTATTTTAATTTTTCCTTCTAAGTTTCTAGAAACTTTTGTTACTAAATTTTCCAAAGAATGATCTGTTTGACCATGTACACATTTCTGAAATTACGACCCAAAGGGACTGCTTTCTGGAAATGAAGATATCAGTATTTTCCACATCTTTTCTCATCATATTGAGGATTTTGACAAGGAGTCACAGGGTGAATGTTAGCCACAAAATCAGGAAGCTATGCTTTCTGAATTTTGAATAAGCTTAGATATTACTAGTCTGAATAGTACAGTTAACACGCTCAACTGCTAACCGAAAGGTTGGAGGTTAGAGTCCACCTAGAGTGAGCCTCAAACAAAGGCCTCGTGAGTTACTTCCAAAAAATCAGCCATTGAAAACCCTATGGAGCAGTTTTACTCTGACACATCCAGGGGCACCACAACTCAGAATCGACTCAACAGCAACTACTTTGTTTTTTCATACTATTGTCTTTCCATGTACGCTTTTGTCAATTTAACTCTTATTTGAAACAAATATTAGCTCTTTTTTCTAAGAAGCCAGCGTACTGCTAATAACTTTAAAGGGTTAAAAAGGTTTTATATTAACTATTTCAATTATCTTATGGTGTCCAGATTTGTAAATAAATAATTTTGCAAAAGGCCCATAACCCTAGTTCATAGAAAGTATGAGCCTATTTTTTAGCCAAGAAAAAAATGATTCTCTTAATAATCACTGACCTTTTTCCTAAAGTTACACCAAACACATGTGCTCAGAAAGTGTCACTTTTTTTTCTCTTACTCTTCTTTTGAACAAATTCTTTTCAAATGTCTTGAGGTATGATTAATAGAGAAAGAACGAGATCTCAGAAATGGGGTCCTCCAGGCCAAGCTTTCCCTGTTCCACGAATGTCCTTTATAAAATTCTTGTGGAGCAGTCTCTCATTCCTTGGCCTACACTTCCTTTGATTTCTGGGAGGGTGAGGAACCCCACTTTAAGATGCTTTGTCCTTTCTTATGGTGGGTACATGTGCTGCTTGGAAACCAACATCCCCATTAGACACGTCACCTCTTAATTCACACAAAGTACCCTCCCTGAATGATAGTGACTTCTGCTGCTCTTCTGTCCTGAAGGTATTCCCTAGGATTATAAACTCCACCTACAATGCTCAAGTCTAGCAGTTGTAACCTTTAGCTTATAGACAACACTCACCTCCAATTTTGCAGTCCCTCACCTCCAACTAAAGGATTCCAAATGTCAAGTCTTACATACGTATGCTGTCCTGATCTGCCTTCTTGTCACCTCTCCAAGGGATCCTGTTTCTGTTCTGTGCCGGCAACACTCCTGGCTGACACTGCATGCTTCTCCCTCATCAGCCAAAGACAAGAGACCAGGCAAGAAACTTCACTAATATTTCCTGTCAGATGGGGTAGACAGGCAGAATCTGCTCCAATATTTGTACCTCATCCTTCACATTAGCAACAACAGTTTGAAGGGCTTTAAGGTTTAAAATATTCTCTATAAAATCAGAAAATCTTTTAAAATTAAGTACCATACTCTATTACTTATTAATAACATCCTGATTCAGAACTTTTCCTTTAAACTCTTCATCATTTTCCCAGTTTTAAAGAAGTGGTTCAGTGGTGGCTTGAATGTTGCTAAGATGCTCAACAGATTTTAGTGAAACTTCCAGACTCAGACAGACAAGGAAGAAAGGCCTGGAAAATCAGCCAGTGAAAATGCTATGGATCACAACAGTTTGGTCCTATTGTCCATGGGGTCATTATGAGTCAGGGGCCGACTCTATGGTTGCTAACAACACTTGTAATAAAGCAAACAGTCCTGCATGGAATAAAATATAAATATAAATTATAAACACATAAATATAAAATATAAATAAATAAAATATCATAAAATATAAAATACAAGTGTGACCCACTATTTCTCTGGTTTTCATTCTCTACAATTTCAGGCCTCTTAGTATTCCAAACAGTGTGATCACTGTGAACTTCCCATATACAATCATGTTCACGAAGCATGTCTTATTCTGTGAATTCATCTCTATCCAATTATCTACCCTGCCTGGGACACACTGAGTATGAAATGAAGTGTCAGAAAAAGAAATATGCTTGGGAGGCAGCCCAATCCACATCCCGGAATAACAGACTGACATGTTTGGATTTAGACACTGGGAAAGATCTGATGGTGCACACCAGGGGTTGTGCAGAATAATGCATTTCCTTCTTCTTAGAAGCTGCTGTTAAGTAGCCTCTGACTCATGGTGACCCATGGACAAAGGATCAGACTGGTGTGATCTACAAAGGTTTGCATTGGCTGATTTTAGGAAGTATATTACCAGGCCTTTCTTCCTGTTTTAGTCTGGAAGTTCTGCTGGAACATGTTCATCATCATAGCAATATATGAATCTACTGACAGATGGGTGGTGGCAGTACATGTGGGTACACTGACAGGGAATCATATCGTTTTGCTGATATGAGACAAGATGTGATTTTATACAATAAAGAAGGGCCTGCAATAGTCAAGGGTTACAATGTTCAAAGTATAAGGCTGCAGTGAGCAGGACAGGGCTGGTAACAGTTTGCTTATTGTGCCACATACTGTAAAAGGTCCTTCAGTACAGAAAGCATACAAGGTTACCAAGTGAACTACCTAATGTGGGAGAATTCTACCCCATGATCAGTGTGCTTAGAAGGCATGGCTCATTGGCAGGGCACTAATTTTCAGAAAGACATCAAGCACCACTTCTTGGGCAGCTCCTCATGGGAGATGAGATGGATTCCAAAAGAGTATACACATAGTATCTACATGGAAGAACATTTTTCTTGATAAATTAAAGGAGGTACGCAGGTATGATTTTTATTTATTTCCACTTATAAATAAAGTTTTCAAATTAATTCAACATAATCTGTTCCTTTGGGGATTTTTTATGTTAAAGTTCTTAACACTAGGTGGCTGTAAATCACAAAATCCTTTCAAATCCAAGTGTGTTATTAACTGTCATACAAATTGTAGTCTTCATCACAATTCAACTCCAAAGAAATGTTCACCAACATTTTAGGCATCTATTGCATTTTAGGCATACTATTGCAAAAGGATAGAAATATTTATTGTAGCAGAATGTTATAGTTATTCACTCTTGGGAGTATTATTCCCCTTATTTTATTACCGCAAATCTGTATTTCTTTAGTACAAGAGAAACCAAAGAAAATATATCTACAATCTTGGATTAAGAAGTACACTGGGATCTGTTGACCTAAAACATATGTACAGGATATAAACATATTTATACTTTATATGTACATGTTGAATGGTTACCTATTTATTATAAATAGTAGGTTATAACTTAGATCTAGAAAATAAATCCGTTTGGATAGGCACATGCAAACCATAAACATAAACTTACTTATAAAACATATGTCTATGCCTTTTTTTGGTTTTAAATATAAATTTTGCTATTTAGCCAACAGTTAAATGATTTCAATGCAAACCCCAAAATCCCCAATTAAAAGTACATATAAAACCCACTTCTATCCATATCAGAACAACATCCAGTATTCTTGGCCTATAGTAAAATCGAGATCATTTCATCACATATGAATGATAGGTAAATATCCCATTTCCTCAGATACTAGATGTCCATCTCTCCAGAGTAAAAGCTTCCTTTGTTCTGTATTTTTGCTTGTTTGCTTTTTGTTTTTTAAAATACTGCAAACAGTAGATATTTATTAAAATAGTATCATCATGGCTTTTACATTCTCATAAAAAGGAAGAAAATTAAGCCTACTTCTAACTGCCCTGACACTGATCCTCTAACACCAGGTAGCAAAGTCCTACATTTAGTTATTTCCAGAGCCATCTGAGTGGGCGGGTGGCCGTGAGGCTACAAAGGGCTCGTTCTGCTTCTGATCCTCTTTCAGGCCAGCTGCTTGGTCTGAGATGGAGGAGAAGGAGAGCTGGTCATGCTCCAAAATGTGCAATTGGTCTTCGCCCTTGAACTTCTTCATGTAGAACAGCTTTCTGAATTTTTTCAGCTCACGGAGTTCACAGAAGGTTTCCAGAACCACCAGCATAGCAATTAGGCCAAGGATCAAGTAACCTGTGTGAGAAACATGACAACAGTATGACTTCCTCATGGACAAATCAAATCACAATAGTGACTCTCCTCCCCTCCCCTTCCATACACAGAAAAATCTGCTGATGAATAAATGCATTGCCACCTTTCTGATATCTATAAATGTTCACAAACCCATGACTCAAAGTGGAGCAACCTAGGCATACAACAAAGAGTGACACAGCCTACTAACAACTGGGATTATCGAGAACTACAGGCTACAATTTTGAGATAAAACATAATAGCTGGGGCTGATGAGGCAAGGCACTGTTAAAGACAAATAACACTATACTTACTCAAATGAAATCATCTGTTTTCTTTAGTAGTACTTCCTTTTAAAGAAATTTATTGTTTGTTGTTGTTTAAAACATACACAGAACATTTTCTGTATACCAACAGTTTCTACATGTACAATATAGTGACATTGATTCTTTGTATTGTGCAGCCATTCTCACTTTCCTTTTCTGAGTTGCTCCTCCATCATTAACATAAACTCACTGCCCCCTAAATGTCCTAGCTAACTAACTTTTTGAGTTGTTGCTGTCAATTTGATCTGATATAAATAGTTCCTTAAAAAAAGCACAATATTCAAGGTAGACATTCTTTAGTAATTAAGCTAAGCAATTGTTTGATTTAAAGAAGACTTCAGGGGATGTTTTTGGCAAGGATTAATATGTAAAGATTTAAAGGGTAATGGTTTCAGAGTTTGTCCAGCTGCAGTGACCTTTTGATGTAAGGGCTCTCCACTCCCATATTATAATCAGTGGTTTTCAAATAGCTAGTGACATATTAGGAAAGTTTTCTATTTATCATAGAATGCTCAGAACAACATGCTTATTAGCTGCTAACCAAAAGGTTGGAGGCTCAAGTCCACTGAGTGGCAACTAGGAAGAAAGGCCTGGCATTCTACTTTTGAAAAGGAGCCATTAAAAACTCTAGGGAGCACAGTTCTACTCTGACACACATGGAGTCACCATAAGTCAGAGCTGACTTGACAGCGACTGGTACTCAGAACAAAGCTCAGCACTATTTAAGGCACTAACTGCTTTTATCATTATTTCTACTACAGAACAGTTCAGTCATAGAAACTACAGTTTAAACTAAATGAAATGTCCTTAAAGAATTGACATATAAATTAAAAAGGTCTTTGTGTGACTGTTGACACTTCCACTTAAATCTAGCAGCAAATCTAAGATCTCCATTATGTGACAGTCACTTTTTTGGTACATGGATCATTCACTTTGATAAATGAATAGTTCTTCCAATTTCCTACTCTTCAGATGAACAATAACTGTTGAACCAGAGCTATTTCTTGGAATTTGTGGTGTGGTAATGGTAATTATATGTTAGTTCCAACATTTTTAAAATCATTACCAGGAAATAAAAAAAAAATTACCCACCATTGAAATGAACAGAACAAAGTGAAAATGAAAACTCTGAGAATAACAGAAACCCCAATATCACGTCCCAGCAGTAAAATGAGGAAGAGCTCAGAAAATCCTTGAATTAGGAAAGCTAGAATTGGCAATATAATGAGAATAAAGATGCTGATTATCTCAAGAATGCAAAGTGACACATTTCTCATATCCTCAGTATTTGGCTACTAGGTTTTGATAATAATATAGTCCATACAATGTGCTCCCTTATTTTAGAAACAAGTGACATCATTAGTGAGAGTAATTGACAAATTCCCTCATTTTCCTTTATCCATTACTTTCTCAAATTGTTAAGTGCTGACAAAAATACCTATGGAATTTTAGGCAAAAACTGTAGGATTTTATTCTACCCAGAGATTGATACATCTTTGGAACATTCAATAGTACACACTTGAGTTCTTAAAACTCAAAGGATGAACTAACTTCAGGTAAATTGCCTTAAGAAACGAATACATTGCTTCTAGCTAGTGATAAAATAATATTCAAGGATTTATTATTATATGAGAAATGGAGGGAGCTAATGTTCGGTAAATTTATGAGAAAACAATTTACACAAGAGAAGAAGTATAGTTAGCAAGCATATTTCCAGAAAATGTTCAGCTTCCCTAAGTCTTTAAAAAATGAAAAATTATAGTAAGGAGGTAATATGAGCTCTGGTAGCGTAGTATCTAAGGCATTTGACTGCTTACCAGAGGGCTGGAGGTTCAAACCCACCAGCCACTCCTCAAATTGACTCAACGTCAGTCAGGTTTTTTTTTTTTTTTACAGGAAAATAAAATTACAATAATGTTTATTGTGGTATCAAATTCACATACCACCACAGGAGTGTTGAGACAGTTATACCCATATAATTGGCAAAGTACACAAGTACTGCCATTTGGAAAGCACACTATCAATATTTCCTATGACTCATAAGAGGGTATATTCACTTTGGGTCAGTAATCCTATTTCTTGCAAAAGTTTTGTCAAAGAAGGAAAAATGTAAAACCATAGAAACATATTCACTACAGAGTTATTTATAATACCCTCAATTGGAAGCAGCCAACAACAGAGGCTAACTGGTTAGATTATGATGTAATCATTCAATGAACTAGTATACGAACATTCAATAATTACAACAATAATTATAGCAAATAGAGAAAACATGAAATCATCCTTGTAACCATTAGGCAAATATTTATTGAACATGTACTGTAGCCAGGCACTGCATAAAGCATTGGGGATTTATGAATTAAGTATTTGCTCTGGGTGATCCCACAATTTAATGGAAATATTAAAATACACAGAGTTCAATTAAGCATTCTGGGGGATAAAGATTACAAGGCAGAGCTAGATGGAACATCAGACTGCCTAGGATATCTGCTTGGCCTCTTAGAAGAAATAACATGAGCTGAGTAGAAAAATTCTTGAGGAGGCAGAAATGAACATTGTATGTACATTATAACTTTGTGCATCCACAGACAGATAGAAATGGGAGACACAAAGATCAGTTTCTTAAAAATGAATTACTAAGTTTTCCATGATATTATTTTAACTTTTTAATTTTAAAGTTATAAGTCAAGGGGCTTCTAAGTTTTTTCCACATATAAAACTCAGAAAATGGTAAACGTATTCTAGCTTCTCCAAAAAAAAACAAGATAGACACATGAGATAAGTCACTGTTTGAATATTTTTCTGGCAAATTAAAGAACACGATTGGTACTATTAGGCTAACTATATCCTAGTTTTCTTGAACTTAAAAATACTTACAGAGTAAGTTTTTTTTATTATTATTATTAAAAGTCAGAAATCAAAAACATTCTAAATGTTGCCTTTTTACATTGTAATTTATAATGCCTCTTACATTTTCCAGTAATTGTAAAGCACCTAAAAAAAAAAAAACCCTCATTGCAATAATAAGATTTTTGTGTAAATAGCTTGAAGAGAATTATGATATAATACAATACTTATAGGAAGAAGGTAAAAACTGAATACTTATCAATGAATGTATTCAGCTGCTAACTAAAAGGTTGGAGGCATGAGTCCATCCAGAGGCATCTCACAAGAAAGGCCTGGTGTTCTACTTCTGAAAAATCAACCACCAAAAATCCTAAGGAACACAATTCTGCTCTGACACACATAGGAATGCCATGAATCAGAGTAGACTTGAGAGCAACAGGATTTTACCAATGAAAAGGCAGTCAGGGCTTTCACAAATGATTAATTTATTAAAAGGCAAGGTAGAGCTTGGAATGAATGGTAAAACTGAGACAGGACGGCAGAGTTTGTGACTCGAATACTCACATGTGATTCCAAGCTTATAGATTGATCTGAATCTTTGATTGTCACCTTCTCCAGGAACATAATCCCCTAGGCCAATGGTGCTCAGGGAAATAAAACAAAAATAAAAAGATTCAAGGAAGTTCCAGTCACTCTCCAGGAAGGAGAATACAGCTGCCGGGATGAAGAAAAAAAAGGACATGGTGATAAACCCGAGGGTAAATGCGTGCACAAGGGACACAGTGTGCTTGGAGAAGCCCCAGCGGGTATGGAAGTAGAAGACAGGCTTGTGGGTGACGTAGAGAGTGATGCGCTGGACCACCGCCGTCAGGAACAGGAGGGTGAAAGGGATGCCGATGATAGAGTACAGGAGGCAGAAGGCCTTACCCCCATCTGACAAAGGCACGGCATGGCCATAACCTATAGGGAGAAAACAGCAACTAAGATGAAAAGGAAGAGAAAACAAATTTTTAAACAGCATCATGACCACCACCTGCCCCCACTTTCCCTAAAATGGGGAAAAGCGTGAGACTTCAGATATAGATACTTTAAAGTCTACGGCATAATTGTCATGGAAGTGAAATTCAATTGTGTATGCCATACATTGGGGCAGTTCACCATGCTCTATAAAAACTTACCAATTCTTTCCAACACATCAGTATTTGGTCTTCAAATCAATGTCAGGCTGAAATAGAAGTTTCATGTATGCTAAGGTGCTAAGGGCCACAGCAGTGGGAGATCACTGTGAAAAAACTTTACATAAGACACTGGCTTTGTCAGGATGGACCTACCCCCATCCCTTATTCCAACATCCTTATTAGTATTGAAATGCAAGCCTATACTTTACCAAAAAACATATGTGCTGGTCTTTAAATATTACTCATACAGTATTCTTATGGAAGTGACTGGCAAATAAGGGTGTGTACTCAGAGCCGAGCTCAAAGGGCACAGCACGGGGACAAGGCAGAGTCAATTAAGACACAGATACACAGAGAAGAGGAAGAAACATGAAGATTAAAGCACATCAAGTCATAGCAGTGAGCACTGCTTTTAAAATATTTTCCCAATTACCTGGTTAAATGGGACATTTAGAAAGCTTGTCATTTTTTTTCCCTTGTCATTTCAATATGTTCAAAGACAACATAAATTCCACAAAACAAGCATTTAAAAACACGCATTAAGGCCAGTGGTCAAACATACTGTCTATTTCACCTTCCACTACGTTTGAGTCACTCCCAAATCAAGTCAAGCAACACTCTTCATCCAACAGAGAACTTAGCTCAGCATGAGACTGGGTGGACTATTTTTAAAATCCTATGAACACTTCATTCTGAAGGGGCTAACAAGTCTAAACAAGTCAGTTCAGGAAAAATCCAACTAAATAAATTGTTTTGAAACTGGATTCTGAAAACATTTCATACATGCAATTATAATTGAAAAGTAGTTTTGAAATCAGACTTCTAAAATATATCCTGCTTAAAAATAAACTCTTTCCTTTATCTGTAGTTATTAAAACTCTGGGGAGGCACAGTCTTAATACAACTGAATCAGTGTTCTTAATCCACTGTCCCAGACTATATAGAGTTTATGAATGAGCTACTGGAGTCCTAGTAATACTCTGAAATTATATGTAAAATTGTACATTTACATGCATATGCATTTTTCGATAGAGATATTCTAGAGCTTAAGTTCTCAAAAGGGGTACATATCTCAAAATGGTTAAAGATTAATGTTTTGAGCTGAAAAGCTCCTGAGTCCATCTGGCCCCTCATTCTCCAAATGCTCCCGAGATACTGTAGCTAATTTTGGGCATGGTATTTAAAGCAAGAAATGGGCACATTGGAGTATCCTAGAACATAACATGGAGGATGGTAAAAGTATATCAAATAATGTTCATGAAACATAAGGAAGTGGGAAAAGAAGAATGCTTAGTTTTAAGGAAAAAATGTGAAAAAGGAATGAGACTGGTTCTGAGTAAGGCAGCCCATTTCTAAAAAACTGGGGCCAACAGGAGTTAATTTTTAGCCAGTTATTTGGGAAGGGTGTTCTGATGATAAGAGCTGTCTGGAAATAGAATCTGAAAATGAAAATTTATTTAACCATTAAAAGGCAATTAGATTCCAACCAGGGATACATTAGATGGTCCCAGATACAATGGTAGACAAATATAGAATAAGACTCAAATTCCTAAAATAAAGCCAGACTTACTGGACTAGTAGAAACTAGAGGAACCCCTGAGACAATAGTCTTGGGATACCCATTAAACTTGGAATTTAAACCACCAGGGTCACCTTTCAGCCAAAAGTCAGAGTGGCTCACAAAATAAATAATATCATTCATGAGTACTATGCTTCTCCAAACAATCATCTACATGAGATCTAAGGATCAATATTTATCCTAGACCAAAGATGAGAAGGTATGGAGGAAGAAGGAAACTATATTAATGAAAACAGACCAACCAGAATGGAAATAAGGAGAATCCTGTCACATCAGGAAGTGTAACCAATGTCACTGATAATACATACAGACATTTGTTAAAGGAAAACCTAATTTGCTGTATAAACTTTCACTAAAAAACACAGTATTTTTTTTTTTTTTAAAAGGTCATTAGAAAATGATTTGCAAACTTAGTTATGACTAAATTCCTAGAGATCATGTTCATAAGACTAGAGTGTCAAGCAGAAGCTGCAAGGAATGGAACAGTTTTCTGGCAGGGATTTTGTAGAGGAACATGCATTAGCTGGGCCAACTAGATTAGGTAAAACCCTTTTAAGTCCATGATTTTATTAAAGTTCACTTAGTAGCATTTTTATAAATCAGCTTTACTAAAATGTAATGCATCTATCTCACACAACCCATCTCTTTTGTACCATCTGTTCCAATAAATTACATGATTTGGGTTCTAGTATGAAAGAAAGTAAATAAATTTCTAGTCTCGATTTAAGACAGTTCTTCTTTTAAAAAAGTTAACTAAATCTCCATTTAGTAGAATGTTATCTTCAAGCAATGGCAACACTCATTTAAAAACCACAGGACTTCTCTCTGCAGTAACACATTTTTATGCCAGGAATGTGTTCCCATTAAGAATCACCATAATCATGCAGATGTTTACGGAAAGCTGTTTTCTTCTGATGATGATTATATAAATAATTTTTGTTAATGGAAAATGAAATGTAAAATTTACATCTCATTGGTATCTCTGTACTCTTGGTGCAGGCCACATTTGGAAAACCTCCCTTTGCACTGACTACAAAGCTGTTGTTTTACAAGAGACAGTTTAAGGCATCAGATGGAAACCTACAGTACCTATAGTACTATTGAATTTTAATGAAGTAGTGAATAATTGGGAGCTCTGGTAGTGTAGTAAGGCATTTGACTTCTAACCAGAAGGCTGGTGGTTCAAACCCACCAGCCACTCCTCAGAAGGAAGACTGGGCAATCTACTTCCACAGAGATTCTGCCTTAGAAACCCAAGGAGTGGTTGCTATGAGTTGGATCCGACTTGACGGCAGTAAGTGAATAATTCACTCAAGTTCAGTCAATCGAACTCCCAGATGAATCATGAAGCAGAGCTCATAGTTTTAAATTTCCTAATCATACTAAAACTCATTATAAACCATGAAGAATCTAGCAAAATGTCAATAAATTGGACATATGTGCTGGTCTTTAAATTGTAGGGCTTAAAATTGACTATAACAAAGTCCACTGAAAAAGTTGACTTCACAGATCTAGTTAAGATGCTGTGATGAAGCTTGCACATACAAATATTATTTTACTCCTGCTCCATAATTGCTGGGTTTCCTGTCCCAACTTCTCACCAGTAGGGCATGTAGGAGTATGTGTCTAATGGGATGGTTACATTGGTAATAGTTTACTAAGCAATCTGGCTTCTTGCTTGGCTACTTTAATTACAATAGCCTTGACACTGTGCTAGAACAGCCAGTCTGGGGCTATGCCATACTAGATCTAAGCCTTTTGGTTTTCTGGTATTTAAGTCCTCCTGAATGAGGTCCAAGGTGCTCTGGTGGTGCAGTGCCTAAGGCATCTGACAGCTAACCAGAAGATTGGCAGTTCAAACCCATTAGCCACCCAGCAGAAGGAAGATGGGGCAATCTTCTGTAAAGATACACTGTCTTGGAAACCCACTGGGGTCAGCTATGAGTTGGAGTCAACTAGATGGCAGCGGGTTTGGAATGAGGTCCAAGACAAAAAAATGTCTGTGGGCTACAATTTAGTTTGCCACAGCAAGTCGATGGTATGCAACTTCACACGTCCCAGACCCTCACACAACTCACTCATTCCAGTGAATGCCACAGTCAGGACTCTTGCAACTTTTGCAGAATGGGAGTTTCAAGTGGAACTGGCAGCACAGTGGAAATACAGTTAGGAATAAAAACTTCTGCAAGGGCACCAAGCATCAATCAATGGCCTCTTGTTGTGACCATGTTTGTATAATAAATGCTCCCACTTATATACATTATTTACTACAATATGGAACAACACACACATTCTCCATTAAGTTAGAGTGATGCATGTTTAAAAAAAAAAAAAAATCTACAAAAAGGAATTTCCAAATCTGAAATCAATCCCAATAGAGATTCTGATTTGAGGACTAGGCAGGTATACTACCCAGACCCTCTATAAATGAGTCTGAGAAACCAAGGGAGACAGATATGGATGTCAATTCTAGAACTCTGAGCTTCAAAGGAAAGAATAAAGAAGTAGCTTAAATATCAATAATAAGAAGAAAGTGAAGAAAAACAGAATGTCCATTTTGTATTACAGCAAGCAGGGCAGGAACCAGATAACCAGCTGACCTTGCTTAGGATTGCACTCACACCCACACTGGTGTCTAGTGACCAAAGAGGTGTAATCACTTTCTTTATCCTGAAAGACCACCCACTAACCAAAGGTGTCGCTGTCCCACCCATATGGTGGCCAGTCAAGCTAACACATACTGCCCCTCCCCCACCTGGTCTTCTGCCTAGCCTACCTCCCCTCTCTCACCCGTGGCCCCCACCTGACACTCCACCCTCCCCACCCTCAGCCTGAGGTGCACTCTGGCGGATCAAATGCTGCAAGCCCTCCATCACAGATATTTGCAGCTAGCCACTCCTCGGAAGGAAGGTTGGGCAATCTACTTCTGTAGTGATACCCCTAGGAAAACCAAGGAGGGGTCGCTATGAGTTGGGTCTGACTCAACGGCACATAAAAACAACAAAGTACCAGAGCTTACACTGATACTGTTCCTTCCTTTCTCCCCTTTATTCTATTCCTTCCTTTTCAGAGTTTTCTGTTAGTGTAGAGGAATCCGACTGATTTTTGTATGTTGATATGTACTCTGCACATGGATAAACTCAATCTATACGTCCCTACCACTTCATCCACACTACAGGGAACGTATAGCTTCTGTTTCATTG